TTGAAAAACAAAAAATAACCTATTTAAATAAAAGACTAAGAAATTAAACGATGCATAATACGTAGGCGTAAATTATCTATCTATATAATACTGAGTTAGAAATTAAAAAAAAAAAAAACATTGACAGCCAGATGCAAGAACATTCAATAACATTTACGAATAACGCAGTGTATTTTTTTTTTTTTTTTCATGTAATACAAATTTTAAAACTATCAAATTTCTAATTACTACTTAGTTAAATACAACTACCTAACTATACTGCAATTTTCACAAAACGCTAATAATAATAATAATACCAAACGTTGCTCTACATAAATTGACAGCTATATTTGACGTTAAACCACATCTAAAACACTGAGAAAAGTTTTTTGTCCTCGAATCGCCCATTTAATTTCGCTTCTTGGGTACGTATTGTTTGATTATATTGACAAATAGACAATCACATTAATTTATTATCAACGACTTGTTACAGTGTATTTATATTACTTGTAAAAGTTATTTAGTTTTTAAGAAAGTGGGTTATTTTGTCGTGTATTGTATTTAAAATATTATTTTGTGCTGATTTAGAATGGAAAATAATGACCAAAACAACAGTATTACTAAGTTATAAGTTTAACTAAATTCTATTTTTATGAGTCAACCTGCTCTTCTTTGATATAAACTTTCAATAGGTATGTATATATTGATTTTAAGACAGAAACAGGTTTATTTTTGACTGTTTTCTTTTTGTAACTGGTGACATAATGAATTTTTCGTAGTTTCATAATGTTATATGCAACTAGTTGCGTAAAGTAGATCATTTTATTAATTGTAGAATGAACTCCCCTGAGCTTCTAGACTTAATTAGACTTAATGTACCTCCGAGCAGAACGAGACATCCATGTATGTTTAATATTCTTTTAGATATGGACATTGTCATTTAATATGATTTTAAAACTAGTAATTAGTGATAGTGATAATTATGTTAACAATACAGTACCGGGAGATGCCTCAAACAGTGAAAAAATACAACTTAACCTATTCATGATTTACGGATTGACTCAAACCTCTAACAAAATAAGGTGAATTCCATTTCAGACAAAAAAATTGTGAATTGTGTTTTAATCATTGTGGTTGTAGAAACAGTAGTATGCTACTCGTGCAAAAAAACCTTCTGCACTTGTTGCACAATACAATATAATTTACCTTTACAATTCATTATTAACATTCCCTCTATAAATATTATTATATTCATTTATGAGCCCCTCAGTTTGCGACCCCTTCTCTAATACGTCATTGTTTTCAATTTTGATCCAAACATTTTACGGATCGCTATTCTACTTCATTAATCCCTGGATGGTATATATAAAGTGGAATGATGTTTAGCTTATCTCTGGAAAACGCACTGAAGCTTCAATCTGTCGGTCGATAGTGACTTAATTGCGTAATCATGTGTACATTACATTCGACTATTTGAGATTTAAATTCGAGATTATAGTGATATATTTGTGAAGCATTTTACCATTAATTGGTTTATATGTATATAAAAACACAAGGTATTATTGAATATAGAATCTTAACTTAGGCCAGGGAACAATGCAAAAATCTTACAAATGAATGTTATAGAAATTATTTACAAACAGTAGATAGAAATAAATCCAAGATTATCCTGGAAATTTAAAAACGATTAAAAACAAAGTTATAATTTACTTCATACCATGTACCATGAAAACATATCTGCAACAAATTCTCATGAAATTTCTAATCTTTTTGCAGATTTCTTTCCAGTATATATGTAAATAAATAAAAACTAGTATTTATGATATTCCATGTCCTACAATTTCTATTAGGTACTGGTATATTTAACAAAATAACTAGTTTACCAGACAAATTCGTGGCAGGCCCTGACGGTATTTCAAATATATTTTTTAAAAGATGTGTTTATTCATTAACTTTACCCTTGTTTATTATTTTTAATGAATAGTTAAATAGTGACATTTTTCCTGAATAATGGAAAATCAGTTATATAATTCCTATTTATAAAAAATACTTGTGGCACTCGGGGACTGCCGCGGTAAAGCTATTGCATAGCATTTTTTATCAACTTATGCAATTATATTTATTTATTTATTTTATTTATGCTGTATTTTTTTTTCTTTGATATTAATTCAAGTTTTTTCTTTGATATTAATTCAAGTTACACTTTTTGAGCGTGGTGACCGATAAGAAAACAATTTTTTTTCTTTTATTAAATAAATGAGAAGTTAATATTGTTTAAAATATTTTTATTATCTTACAATACATGTAGATTATTCAGGAATTTTTATCATTGAAACTATAGGTTTATGGTAACTGAAATAAGAAACATAAGTTTGAGACTTGATATCCTCTAAATATCGGGAAAATACCGCGTCAATGGTAGTCCTATATTTTGTTGTGGATTCTTGTGGATCATTATTCATTTTCAAATTCAATTTTTCCGAAATTGTGTCTAAAAGTGATAGAATCAGTTATCAGCTAGTCTACACGCATACGTCTAGTCCCACGCACACAAACACCGTGCCGAAGTCTGCCGAACTGAAACGACGTTAGACGATGCACGGTTTTCAACGCCGCACTGCTGTACCGGTCGGAGTGGGGAGTGTTAGGTTTATTTTCGTTACGGAATTTCTGTTTCGATTTTTCGATTTTTCGATTTTTCGATTTTTCGATTTTTCGATTTTTCGATTTTTCGATTTTTCGATTTTTCGATTTTTCAATTTTTCGATTTTTCGATTTTTCGATTTTTCGATTTTTCGATTTTTCGATTTTTCGATTTTTTGATTTTTTGATTTTTCGATTTTTCGATTTTTCGACTTTTCGATTTTCTTTTATTGAATAAATGAGACCGCTGTGCCGGTCGGAGTGGGGGTGTTAGGTTTTTTTTTTTCGTTACGGTCGTTACGCAATTTCTTGATTCGGTCGCCGCACTCAAAGCCCGCGATAAAAGCTATGCAATAGCTTAAAAATTGTATGTTATGTTAGGAATGGGGTATTAATACACTGCGAACTAAAAGATCCATTGTTCCCCCTTTTGTCGCTATTACAGCAAGGAAATGTCTCAATGCCTATGTTAGGTAAATCTCCCTCTTCTATTTGATAAGCCCCTAGATATAGTGCCCTTGGATTCTGGAGTTTTACACATTCAGTCAGAATTGGAATGGAGGTTTCTGTTTCCTCCTCACAGAATCTGCACTCACTATCTTCTACTACTCTCAGTTTACTAAGGTGTCCTTTGAGTCGGATAAAAATGCTAACAAGTAAGACATAAAAAATTACATAAGTGTCTGCAACCAGTCAGCTATGCACAAACTGTTTGAAAGCTTAATAACAGATCAACTTATACTTTTTGTTGTAGAAACATATTAATCAGCATGATTTACTGTCTAAATGTAGTACTGTTACGAACTTGTTGGTTTATGAAAGTAATATAATTGATGCCTTAGAAAACAAAAGAGAATAAAAGTCGATGCATTATACACTTTTTTCCAAAGCATTCGACAGAGTTGATCCCAGTATTCTTTTAAAAAATTAGATTGTTTAGGGTTCCGTGATAGGGTCTTAAAGTAGCTGTCGAGTTTCTTAACAGGTAGATCACAAAAGGTTGAAGTTGGATCGAATCTATCAAAATCAATACAGGTGTTCTCAGGAGTACCTCAAAGCTCACACTGTGCTTCACTACTTTTAACTTATTTATAAATGACATTGGGGACAATATTAATTTTTTCAAATATATCTTGTACGCAGATGATTTTAAATTATATAGACCAATTAATAATTCCTATGACCAACTTTTATTTCAAAAAGATCTAAATTCATTAACAAAATAAACTCAACCTCAATGTGAACAAATGTTATATTAAAATCCTTAAATCAAAAAAAAAGTAAACTTTGATCAGCAACTAACATTTGTTGAACATATTAATGGGCTGTGTTCGAGAGCTCTTAAAGTGTTAGGATTTATTAATAAAAAATGTAGTGGCCTCTCAGTTACTTAATAGTAGCTGTTCATGTCTATTTTAGATTATCCTTTATATTACATCTCTTGAAAGAGTTCAAAACAAATTTTTACTTTGTTGTGAATTTAGACTTGGTATTCCACATGTAAATGGAGATTATTTGCCTATTTTACAAAGGCTAAACATGGTTACTTTAAAAAATCTTAGGTTACTACTTATAAGTTGGTAAATGGAATTACCTTTAGCCCAGAACTTTTATATAGACTTCATAAAATCTAGTAGTTGTCAAGTATATAATCATTTATTAACCAATTACAAAGGTATCCTTAAACTACTTTTAAAGACCTGCAAACAATATCTAATAAAAAATAAAAACCGTAAATATGTATATGTCAAATTATATTGTTAAAAGTTTTGTTAGAATTAACTGCCAGTGGAACCAAAATTACGTCACACTTTTGTGGCGTATACTTCTTTTTCTTTAAATGGTGTGCTTATCACTTATATCGTATATCTGTCTTTGTCAATCATGGCTCACTTTAAAAACATCTTTTGTGGATAACTCTTTATTAACTGTTTGATTTTATACGTTAAAAGAAAGTCTTAATGGTGATTTAATTTTTTTAATAACACTGAATAACAATCAGAAAAAATATATATTTATCACGACTTAGGTTCTAGCGGCTAAAGTAAATATCTAATTTATCTCTGACCTTGACATTAATAATATTGAAAGGTTCCAAAACTGCTTCAGATAATTAACATCGTTGAAACTTTTAATTACTTTACAACTTGTTTATTTTCATTTATTTGATTTTCCCGCAATTCACAGAACATTTGATTTAATTTTACTTTACAACTCTATTTATAACCCCTTTGAACAATAACCTCGTCTCCTCCCATCCAACACCAATTGATTTACCCCTTAAACTTATTTACGAATCCCACATATACGAATGCCAAGCGAATAGTTCGAATATCAATCAATTTCTCAACTAACCGGTAGTTCTCCTTTTGTTTCAGAGTCACTTGGAGCGCATCCTAGAAAGGCCAGGGAAGTCCCAGGAACGATATGCTCCTTTGACTCGAGTTGAAAGCGGCAACTTGACAGCGGAAGACATGCGAGAAAACGGATTACGGAAACCGAGCGTATTTACTACCGTGTTTGAACTGAGAGAATGCGGAACGCAGACTCTGGTTTCTAGGTAATTAATTTTAGTAAGGAGCATTGAGGTTAGGAATAATTGGACCGTAGAGATTATTTTTTGAGAGATTAGTTGGAATAAATCTCTTAGAAATGGTATATTTTATATAAGTGCAATACTAATGGAATTATAACTATTTATATATCTTTACAAACCCCGTCACATATTAGTTGTTCCAGTGAATTTATTTGTATTAATTCCATAAGAGCCGCTTTACAGTTTTCAGTTTTCTTTATTGCAAATAAAAATACGGCCATTCCTATTGAGCGTAAGATAAATTTAATAATAAAATTTCGAAAATTCGTATTGCACGTCTGCGCACTAACATTTTTTTGATTATAAAATAGCGTCAGACTGAAAATTATTTACCACAAGTCGTATTACAGCTGTAATAGGCCTTTTCATCATGTGATGAGCGCAAGCGCAGCCGCCATGTTGAAATAGCGCCAATTCAAAAGTTTCGTACTGTTTTGATCAACAATGGCTGGAAAAGCAATATTATCTCTACATACAAATCAATCATTAAAAAAATCGTTGATGGTGATTTACATTTTTATAACTCTGTGGAAGCACATAGTTTTGAGCTATTAAAAAAGTTCTTGAAGTGACGTGGACGTTCGGAATAAGGAAAAAAGTGTGATTGAGACGTTAGGTTTCAATATTAACTGCGTAAAAAATTAATAAAAACAAATAATAATAATTTTAAGGTGTAGGGTGAGAAAAAGTCCTTTATATCTCACAAGGAAAGTCAATGTTTAATTGTTTAACAAAACATTGAGTGCGACCGGTTTCGAAGTGTCATCACTTCATCTTCAGGCTCGCCTAGTGGAAAGGAGAATATGTGGTGTAAGGTGTGTTAACTTGGAAACAAAACGATATATAAAATAATAAAAAAGAGAAAACTCACCATACTCTCCATCCACTGGTGAGTTTTCTCTTTTTTATTTTTTTATATATCGTTTTGTTTCCAAGTTAACACACCTTACACCACATATTCTCCTTTCCACTAGGCGAGCCTGAAGATGAAGTGATGACACTTCGAAACCGGTCGCACTCAATGTTTTGTTAAACAATTAAACATTGACTTTCCTTGTGAGATATAAAGGACTTTTTCTCACCCCTCACCTTGAAATTACCTCAACTCACACATGGCTACCCCCCTTGTCAAAATAATAATAATTATAACTCTATTCTAATTAATTATGCCAAGTAACTATTATAATCGAATTAAATTACGGGTTTTGAGCTTACATTAAATTGTAATTAGATGAAACAAAATAGATTTTATGTATTTTGAGGTGATCTTTTCGAAAAAAGGCAAAACAAAATGTAGCAGTTTTTCGAAAGTGCCGAAATTTTGGATTTTGTCAATTTTTCAATTTTGCGCAGGCGCATGTCGGAAATAAATCAATATTTTTAAAACGCAGTTTACGACATTTGAAAGCTTAGAAAAAATGCTAATTTTTATGTCTCTTGAGAAATTTTGATCCGATGCACCGTTCTCGCGGTATGGACGATTGAAATTTGTTTAGTATTTTGAGGCGACGAAGGTCGAAAAATTGAATTTGTTAAATGTTCAAACACTAAATTCTTTATAACATTAATAAAAATTAAGATATTTGAAAAAACAAAAATGCATTTAGAACTTAAGGGATGTGACTAGTGATTCCCAGAAGGGGGCAAGAGAAATCCCAAAATTGGGCATATGGCGGAAGGGCAAAATGCACCGCGGTCCTAATTTCATTGTTTGCCTATAACCGCCAAACTATTTGAATTTTTTTAATGCCACTTACAAAGCTTACTCTTAAATGTGAAATCTTATGTGTGTCTGAATTTCACCGACATCGGACCATAATTGGCTAAGATATCAAACAATTAAATAATATTTTTTTTACAAAAAAAAAAAATAATTTTTTTTTCGAAAGTTTGAAGTGACACAAAAATGCCAAAAATGCATCCAATGGCTCAAAACTTTTTTTTGAGTACTCTATTGTGTCTAGAATACGATTACATTACGGAAAATTCTGCAAATATATTTTATCTATTTTTTTGACCACTGTTCATTGAGTGACGACCAAAAAACACGGTTTTTGAGAAAAGTTGCCTAAAATTGACAATTTTTAGTTTTTTGGTCTGAAAATTAAACAAACCCAAATTTCATGTCTTCTAAATGTGTATACAAAGTTTAAAGTGTGTATGTTTCTTCTAAGTTGTAGAATTCTCCCGACAAAAGTCCCATTACACGCGCTCCGCGGAATCCAAAACTCGTGTATACACTACATTACTGTAATTTGATTTTTTTGCGATTTCCAGTTTTAAATTTCTTGCATATCTAAATTTATTAGGCTTAAAATTTATTAAATTGTATTTTACTGACTTGTTATAAGACGTTTCTTGAGTTTTGTGCAAAATATAGATATTAGCGAACAAAAAGCAAGCTTATCACCAAGTTGGAACTTACACTCAGGCTTAGGATTAATTTCCTAACATTTTTAAAGTATACCTTTTTGTGTATTTTTTTGTGCTCTTTTCGATGGCGAAGTTAGTTTTTTCAAATATATTTATTTTGTTAGATGTTTTCGGAAAACCCGGAAAAAATCACATGGGAAAAAAATTAAAAACAAACTACGCCTCTGGTTTCCTGCGAATTCCCGAAAAATTATGTCAGATTTCGCCGCGGGCCTTATTTTATTTGAGAGCCAACAAAAAAATACGCAACTTCTCTCATGGGCACATATGTCTAACATTTATAATTTCGCCACAAATTCATCGCAAATTTCATGTCCATGGTTCTGATCAAAAAAACGAAAAAACGACTTTTTGGTAAAAGCACTTCTGGCGGCGAGAAATTCGCCATTAAAACTACCTGTGCAATGAATTTCCGAACTATTTTTGCCTCCTCTTTCGAATGGTGCATTTATTTTCACTATCGGAATGATACTTGCCCAGATAATTAGCATTTTTACAATGGAAAATTCCGGAAAACCCGGTTTTTCCAAATTTAAAAAAAATTGAAAAACTGCTACATCTTTTTTTTTCTTTTTTTCGGAAAAATCACATCAAAATACACAAGGTCCTTTTTGTTTCATCCAATTACAAACTAATGTAAGCTCGAAGTGGCTTTTTTTCGTTATTTAATTGGACTATTAATAATTGCAAAAACACTTTAACATGAAAGTTAATCACGAGTATAATTAATTAATAAGATAAATTATTTAAAATTTTAAGGATCAACATGACATTTTTAATAATGTAACTGTGTACACCGAAGTAGTATTTAATAGTGTAACGGTTTGGCTCTACGGACGAGACAGTGCCAGGGTTTGCCACAACAGTACGAGACAACGAACCGTCAAGGTGACAGGAAACCCAACCTACAATCGGGCAGGCTGACGGAAGCTTGGAGAAGGTGTGAGGATTGATCGGGAGCGGTCATGGAAGCGGTTACCATGGATTGTTGATGATATGACACGGTCAATTTGGAGTGGCAGATAGAAAGCCGGTCAGCGCGTGGCGGATCAACGTTTCAATTGTAAATAGTAATAATTGTAAATAGTTTACGCGTTCGGATAGTTACTTTTTGTATTTTAATTAAATAAATAGTTTCAACCCACACTCGTGTTACAATTGGTGTCAGGTGTGGGGTCCTGAAGAAAGAAGATGTCTAAGAAGTTAAATCAGTTGCTGGTTGCAGAGCTCAGAAGAGAGCTAGAAGAACTTGAGCTAGACACGACGGGACCCAAGACGGTGTTGGTAGCACGTTTGAGGGAGTACTACGAAAGTCGAGGTGACGATCCTGATGCCATAGAATTTGAAGATCCCTCCCTGAAGGCTGGGAAGTCCTTTGCCGAGCTTGCCGAAAAGATGTCCAACCTGTCTACGGAGATGTCCCTTCAGCGAGATGAGCTTGCTGAAAAGATGACCAGCCTGTCCTCCGAGATGTCTAATCAGCGAGATGAGCTTGCTGAAAAGATGACCAGCCTGTCCTCCGAGATGTCCAGCATGTCCACCGAGGTTCATGAGGTTAATGAAGAAGTGTCCAACCTCTCCCGGGCCATGGCTAACCAGGCAGCAGAACTGCGAGCAGAAATTTCCCAACAGGAAGAAAGAATATCCGGTGTGATTGCTCAGCAGGAAGAAAGAATAACCGGTGTGATTGCTCAACAGGAAGAAAGAATATCCGGTGTGATCGCTCAGCAGGAGGAAAGAATATCCGGCGTCGAAGAAGAGATCCAGAAATTACAAGATTTCCTGTCCAATCCGCCACCTCCTGGAAGCAGAGAAGAGGAACCCAACCCCGTGGTAGAAAGGCTGGAGAGCAATCTTTCAACTCTCGAGATCAAGCTCCATGCGATCGAAGAACGATTCTCCCGCCAGTCTTCAAGAGGTGAAGATCGACGAGATTTCGGCGCTGTAGGTGAGACCAAAGCCAGAATGAAGCCACCTACCTTCGACGGCAAGACCTCCTGGCCCAACTATCTCAAGCAGTTTAACGCAGCAGCCGACGCCAACGGATGGTCCCCTGGGGAGAAGGCAGTAGCACTTACAGTTGCCCTACGTGGTGATGCTCTAGATGTCCTGCAGACCCTCCATGCCGACGAGTCCAAAGACTTCGATCAACTGGTGAAGCGTCTAGAGATGAGGTACGGCCAAGCCCACTTGGAACAAGTCTACCAGTCCCAACTTAAGAATAGAAGACAGAAGGCAGGTGAGTCCATCCAGGAGTTCGAAGCCGACGTTGCACGGATGGTACGCTTTGCCTATCCCTCGGCCCCTGAAAGCGTACTCGAATGCCTAGCTGTCCAAGCGTTCGTTGATGGAATGAGAGACCAGGAGTTGCAGAGAGCACTGCGCCTAGCCCGTCCCAAGGTCCTGGTGGATGCACTGTCAACGGCGTTAGAGTTTGAAGCAGCAACTGCAGCGTCCCGTGCCCATGACCGAATCCGAACCGTCACCAGCCACTCCAGCGAAGAGGAACACCATGGAGAGTCCAACAGGGA